GCTTACTGTTCTTTTTAAAGGTTATTTTTCTTTTGTCAGCCTTTCTGACAGATAGCAATTGAAAGGTATAAAAAGAAATAAGCCACCAACAAACAGAAATGAATACATATGTTACAGCACCTTTAGGCATTTTCCTATTATTTGTCCAGAATATTTTGGCTAGAACTCCACTGGTTATATACACACCACTGATGCATGATGAGGAGTACAAGCAGCAGTTCAATTATGCAATTTATGCTACTAAACTTACTCTGGCATATATAATGACTAGGAGTCTGGCCTATATATTTGTTTTTAAACACCTTCCTTTCAACCATCCTATTAGCAATAAAAACAATAGAAACTATATGTTAACTTTAAAAATTCTAAAGAAGAAATACATACACAGTAGTCCAAACACATTTTGTATGAGATTTTGGAATTAGTAGGGAAGCCAATGAAGAGCAACCGACAGATGCTAAATCCAGACAAGATGCTGGTACTATTTGAGGGTGGTTCATCTCTCTGGATAAACAATACTATGTTGGATGGGGTTGCATGCCCCCTAAACAAACAGGTGTTGACCTTTAAGGGTATTATTTCAGCTTAATCTTCAGGAGTGAAATAACATTTATGGCAGACAGCACTGTTTGGCGTACCTTCTGCAAAGACTGCTAGACAGCCAGGTGACTGCCATCTGAGAATTTCCTATCTGGACGATTACAGTGTAGTATAGGCAAAGTTCAGCTGGGACAAAATACAGTAACTAGATTACTAGTCAGCATTTTACAAAGGGATCGACAAAGAGACCAGTGGAACCCTGAAGACTGAAAAATCAAACAGCAGTCTTAACCACCCCAGTTTCCATTCCATTCCTGAGCGGTCTAAGGTCCTAGCTGAAAGACTTTCTGAAACTTTAAACAGTTTGAAACCTGTGAAGGACCATGCTCTCATACACACACTTTTTCTGAGTCCACCGGCCTTTGGAGGCAAGGTGGACGGTGATCAAGGGCAATCTGGTTCTGGAATGTTCTTCCCAAGAAACTAATTAGAAGTTTGATGCCATAACTTTTAACATCCGATGAGGTTTCCCCGGGGACCTTTTGGTTTTCCATTTCACTTGCAACTTGGTCCGCGCCACTATCTGTTTTACTTACTAATCTGCTTAGCGAGATTGTTTTAATACATTTACGCATCCAGACGAATATACTGGCCGGGGGATGAGGAGCTAGAGCAGTTTATAAACAAAGTCACATATGATACTGTCAGTAAAGTGTGAATAGAGTACAATTCCCTACAGCAAGATTGGAGCGGTTACGATCGCCATGATATTCCTTCCCGATTCTCGCTGCATCTTTAACATTCCTCCTCCCACCCCCGAAAAAGAGATCAAGGCGTCTTTTCCGCCCCCGCTCACCCTGTCAGACCCTTCGTGGTGTTTATGTAGAGCTTCGTGTCTGGGCGTCACTGTCAGACTATGCCTCCCCCTCTTTTTTTCTTTTTTTTTCCTTTTCTTCTTCAAAAGAAAGGCTGCAAAGGGTTTCCGAGGCTGGAAGCGCTACTCTCAGTACAGGCGGATCAAACGCACTGGGAAACCGGCAGGGTTTGCAAGGAAGTAAAAGAGGCAGATGCGCAGGGAAGGGAACGCTAGGGCTCGACAGCTGGCGCTATAGAGAGAAAAGTGAAAAATCCGCCACTAAAACTGACGCGATCCGGCGAATGGAGCCTGTGCAGGTCTTCCAACTGATCCCACCACACCACCTTAAACTCCCTGGAGTTTGCAAGGCACACAAGCATGCAAAGAAAGGAACGCCACGGGCGACTCCCTGTGGCCTTTATTGACACTTACCTGTCCGGGGCGCCCTTTTCCCCCCAATTTACTTCCCTAGCGCGCGCGCGAGCGAGCGCCTCCCGTCTTCTCTTCTCCGCCTCCGCTCAGGGTGACAAACTGCAGAGCGGGTTTCATTCATAAGACGCGGTCGGCCGGCGCCGCAATGAAGCAGCCAGGCGCGGGCTCCTCCCTCCCCCGCCCCGCTCCCCCCCGCCTTGGCCAACCTGTGAATGAAACCCTCCCAGCTCCTCCTTCCCTCACCCTTTGCGAGGGAGCTTCGGTCACGTGGCTCCGGGTGCAAGGAGCCTTTGGGGAGGGAAGAGTCGCGAAAATGGCGGGGTCTTGTTCGCTTCCTAATAATCAATCGATGGCTCCCGGCGCGTAGTGGATGCTGCCACTTCACACTCCTCGTGAGGGTTATGTTGCAGGTTTCCAAGTGTGCGTGTATTGGGGGGGGGGGGAATCCGCAGAGAACTCTGGCTCTCGAGGTAGTCCGTCTCAGGGTGCAACCGAGGTAAATCGTGTGGGTAAGTAGAAGACCTTCCTCGGGTTGGTTGGTTGGTGCAGCCGACTTCTGCTTCTCCTAGAAATCATGGGTTTTCCTCTTTTTTTAAATTGAGCCGTATTTCCTTTTCTACCCGTGCGGACTACACAGCCCAGTATATTTGGGCCAGATAATTTACTTTCCTTACTACTTTTTTTTTTACTACTTTTTTTTCCAGCTTCCCATGTCTTTCCTTGTTGTCGTGGGCACGGTTCACAACTTCACACTGACGATTGGAGGACATTTCAACTATATAATTCTGAAAACGAGAACCCGCTTGTGTGCCACCCCCTCCAACCCTAAAACCTGAAGGGTTGACAATCTGGCCTTAACAGACTAGAGAGGGAAGGGTGGACTGATCTGAATATAGGAACTCTGGAATGGTCAGGGAGGGGGGGGAAACCTTCGGAAGAGACCGCCTTGGCAGGTGGGGAGGAGAGGCGAGTGGTGGGTGGAGGCCATGAGGACAGGAGCTGAAGAGTGATGGGCAAAGGGAGAGGAGAGGAAGATTGGGGGGGGGGTTGGCAATCGTAAAGGCAGACACCCCCCCCCGGACTGCAGATTGAGTCCCAGAGACTTGGCGGGAAGGAAGTGGAGAAGGAAGGAAGGTGTGGAAAACCCCCTTTTTGGGGAGAAACTGGAGGGAAAAAAGGAAGGAATGGGAGAATTTTGAGAGGGAGGCGAAGAGCGTTTGGGAGCCCGAGATAGGCTGGGTGTATCATCCTTAAACCTAGGTGTGGAGTTAGCCTTGGCAGTTTATGGTGCTGATATGTTATTGCCAGTTGCACATCTTTTTAAGACTCCTGAGGGGGATGTTGTTGTACTGGTAAAGAAACAACATTTGACGCCAAGAGACAATATCTTTGTGAAAGAGATGGAAAGAAAAGATTACACAACCTCTTTTAACTTGGTTTAATAAAACAGTTGATTTTGAACTTCAAGTAATGACTGACTTTTCCACTGAGAAGGTGAGTCTAGGATTGGGTTGGGACTTGCAGGATCGTCTCAACAGTATATCCAGATTTATTTATTTATTTGATTTTTTTTATACTGCCCATCAGGCTATCAAGGCCACTCTGGCCGGTTTATACAGTTGAACCACATTAAAAAACAATTAAAACAAAAACACAATATAAATCAGAATTAAATATAAACATATCAACATAATTTAATTAATAATGACTATAATAATAACAACAATAACTACTACAACAACAACAGCAGCAGCAGCAGCAACAACAACAACAATAATAATAACAATAATAACAATAACAACAACAACAACAACAACAACAACAACAACAACAACAACAATAA